GACTGCTGAAATCAGTCCTCAACTAGGTCTGTCCTATACAGACCTCTCTTAGTAGCCAAATAGCTACTATTTGCTGGAAATAACCTAGTAGGACATCTGCTTCTGGGTATTACTTCCCTTGAGCCCTACAACCAAGGGAAACCCTAGGTTCGAACTTGCTTTGTTCTCTTACAACCCTAGGTTTTCACTGCAGCAACCCAGAAAAGAAGAAAGAATATGAAAACACAGCAGGAGAAGAGAGAGTGCGCCGGCTGAAACCAGGGAGAAGCTAATGCTCTGATACCATGTGAGCTTAGGAGCTGTATTCAAAGTAGTAGAGAAGAGAAGAAGACCTCTGAAATACTGTGAATGTTGAACTAAATAGCTCAGTCGACAATACTGTTATTTATATTAGAATGTAGTACAATGATACAAGGAATTACTAGAATGCCCCTGATTAGTGATGGGACACTCAGACAAATTAAAACATTAAACAGGCTTAGGCCCATTAGCACAGGCCCAGTACAGGATAACTTAAACTTAAGTATAGGCTAATAAGAACTCTTATCAGCCGAACACTCGTACATAAAGAGACTTCAATCCAACAACACTGATGCTGACTGGGTTGGGTTTGTCAACGCCCTTGGCTGAATAGAGAAAATAACAAAAATAATCTTAGAGGTGTCAAGAATGAACGACCCCCACCTCAAAGAGTCTCTTATATATTAAAAGATATGTACAATTACAAGAATGCCCATATAGGGCTGAAAGAGAAAAAGAAGAAGATATATAAGTAATATACAATAGGGACTATACTAATAAGATACATCAAGTCACAAAATCTCCACACTCCCCTCAAACTAATGCCTAGACATAAGCATTTGTTTGTCAATAAGAAAGAGATGTTGAACTCTAGTCATAGCCTTGGTGAAGATATCAGCAAGCTGCATGTCCGAGGCTACATGAGGAAGCTATATAGACCCAACAGTGAAAAGATCTTGGATAAAGTGGAAGTCCACCTCGATGTGATTGGTCATCTCATGGAAGACAGGGTTAGATGCAATCTTAATAGCACTTGTGTTGTCTGCATAGAGAGTATTAGGAGTAGGAAGCTGAATGCCAAGATCCATAAAGAGAGATCGTAACCAAACAATCTCACTGCAAATAGAAGACATTGTCCTATACTCTGCTTTGACAGAAGATTTGGAGACTATTTGTCATTTCTTACACTTCTAAGAGATGAATGAATCACCCATAAAAACACGCCACCCAAAAGTGGACCTACGAGTGTCAGGACAACCAACCCAATCTGCATAAACATATGCTCTCAACTAAATAGGAGAGGACGAGAACAGTCCCTGAGAAGTTGTGCCTCTAACATATCGAATGATGCGATGAACAATGGTCATATGAGGCTGACAAGGAGTAGAAACAAATTGACTAACAACCTGAACAATACGAGAAATATTAGGCCGAGTCATAATGAGATAAATGACCCCACAAGCTGGCGATACAAGGCAGCATCAGTAAGCAATGGACCTTCAGATTTAGATACCTTAAAATTTAGCTCCATAGGTGTATCAACATGCTTCTCATCATTAATATCAACAAGTTTAGCAAGGTCAGAGGCATATTTCTATTGACAAACAAAATACCCTTGATCACTACAATGAACTTCTAGTCCCAAGAAATAGGTGAGAGGGCCCAAGTCCTTCATGTGAAAGGAATTATGAAGTAACAATTTCAATTCACGAATACCCTCACAATCATTCCCAGTCAACATGTCATCAAGATACAAAAGGAGAATGGTAATACCCTGAGGCCATTGCCTAACAAAGAAAGAGTGATCAGAGGAACTCTGGCTATCCAGCAGTAACTATAACATCTTGAAAGCGTTCAAACCATGCCCGAGGAGCCTGTTTTAGACCATATAGAGATTTTTTGAGGTGACATACTAAAGAAGAATCATTGTAGTATCCAGGAGGGGGCTTTATGTAGACCGTCTCCTTCAACTGACCATGAAGAAAGGCATTCTTTGCATCAAGCTGGCTTATGGTCCAAGATTGGGCAGCAGATGAAGCTAGAGATTTTTTTACCCTTTTATTTTTTATTGTACTGTTGCCCGACTATATATACCAATAAAGGAGTCACCAACCTACCTTTTTGTTTCTCAATCTTTCTTCTTCCTCTTCCCTCTCTCTCTCTCTCTCTCTCTCTCTCTCCCTTCTCTTTTTTTCTTCCTTTTATTGTTGTTAATAGAAATGGGACAAACCCAAGCTTGGATCATATAAACTGGACATGGATGTAGCAGTATAGGTGTAATATGGGTCGTGTCAAGCCGGCATGGTACTGTTTTGTTATGACACCTGCACTGTAACGTGTTGTCTTGGCACAACCCAATAGATCGGGGGGGCTCAGCATGCATGGGCCCAGGTCCATCGCCCATGGGCCCATGCCGGGCTGGTCCAAGACAATTTTTTTATAAAGGAAAAAGTTAAAAAAGATACATATTTATATATACATACATACATACATACATATATATATATATATATATATATATATATATGAGTCGTGCTGGACCATGGATGGCCTGGCCCATTTTACATCTATATCTAGCAGCTAGGGGCAATCTAGTGTGTGGTGGTGGGTGTGTATGTTGATTAGACTGAAACATTGTTTAATGTACCATCATGACTATGGTTTGAATAGTAATGGTACAACAGAAGCACACACCTAGGCTTGGAACATATAAAAGGGACATGGAGCAGCCAGGGGCAATCCAATGTGTTGTGATGGGTGTACATGTGATTGGACTGAGGCATGGTTTTCGTTTTCCATCACAGCTATGGTGTGAACAGCAATGGCACACGAGAAGTGCACACCATATTGGGTGAGGTCAGGTATTGGAGAATCTTGAATCTTCAAGGTCTGCTGATTATAGGCGGTTTGCCACATTTTCTCTTGTGATTGATATCATTATTGGAAGAAGCACCCTCAAGGCGCCCTTGGAGGCTTGCCTCGCCTAATCGCCAAGCAGTTTTGTACATTATGTTATAAAATACTTTTATATTCTTAATTTTTTGAGATAATAATTATAAAAAAGACATTATTAAACTAAATATTCATTTTGTGTGTTATATACTAATTTCTTTTTATTATTTTCTTATTTGTTGGAGTTTAATCAACACAAAAGTTGCTAAATGATGTATTTAACTCTCAAAGACTTCAAAACCTGAACCAATAATGAAGAACTTAAAATTTTGTCTAATCAACACATTATCTTCTTCCACATCTTCTTCTTCTTCTTCCACTTTTTCTTTTCTTCTTTTCCTATAACAAAATAGGGTTTCAGCCCCCATATTTTTTGAATTTTCTTTTTTTTCTTCATTTTTTATGAATATGTTGATTTTCTATACTTAAACGTGAAGTTTATACTTTTTCTTATGAAATTATGGATAATTATTATGGAAATATGGTTATGGAACCTAGGGAACTACCCTAGGATACATGTTTTTTACTTGAAAAAAATCCATCGCCGAGGTGACTAGGAGAGAAGGTGCTCTTTTGTTGCCTAGCCTCGCCTTGGCACCTTGAAAACTATGTTTTACTTAAACGTGAAGTTTATACTTTTCTTATGAAAATTATGGATAATTATCAAGGAAATATGGTTATGGAACCTAGGGAACTACCCTAGGGTATATGTTTTTTACTTGAAAAAAATCCATTGCCTAGGCGACTAGGCGAGAAGGTGCTCCTTTGTCGCCTAGCCTTGGCACCTTGAAAACCATGTTTTAGAGCTTGGTTGTCCTGCCTTTCAGACCTCCTTAATGGGCTATACTACAAGGTTCATAATGTTTATAGGGAGGGTAACCAACTAGCTGATACCTTGGCAAGGTTGGGAGCAGACTCCCAATCAGAGTTTTTAGACTTTCTGATAGACTTCCTGCACAGCTCTGTGGCATCTTCACCACTGCCTCACACTAGTACACAATAGGGGCATATGCTTTATGCACTCTTATGTAAAATTGCTACATGCCTTGGGTGTGTGAATGCCTCCATGTTATGCTTCAGCATGGTTGTTCAGATACACAAGGTATGGACATATAGTAGTAAATATCAATTTTGAACATATTCTCCAGTCTTTATTTTGTTTTGTTTTGTTTTTTTTTTTACATCTTGCTGAGTGGACTCCTACATGCTGAAGTTCCACTATCAAGAAGTTTCTTCAAATAGATCAGGTAATGGTAGGAGATCTCTGTCCTTTGCCTAAACTTTTTCCTGTCCAAATGGATGTTGAAGCCTAGAAGGATCTATCATCTTAAGTTGATGCTTCAAAGTACAATTATTTCATTTCCATAGAGCTATGCCTGTTCTTGGGATCTTGTAACCATGTATTTAGATGGATCTCTAGACCTAGAATGAGGCAGCAGACAGTTTAACTAGATTAGATTTTAGTTGAACTAGAATGTATAGTTATCTGGTTTGTCCCATAACTCTTATGATTGTACTAGTTTGGATGGACTTATCACTTTTTGTATTGATGCTTATCTTATAGTTTTAATTTGTTTCTTTGTCTCTTTTAGTGGAAAACCATTGTTACTATTTATAAACCAATGATATCTATTTCAAATGAAGCTTTATTGATAACAAACAAGGTGAATATTTTGGAATAATAGCATGATGTGATGTTTCTAGTATGACTTTCAGGGCGGTGACCGACTTTTGTGCAGCAAATCTCTTAATGTCATTATTTTAATTGTTAAATCATGTGTAGTTTCAATTTATAATTACATAGCTAATTTTAATCATTCCATTTGTATCAATGTGGTTAAATTCTTCCCATTCAGGATTTGGCACTCATTGTTGTTTTAAGGTCATATTTTTAGTACGACATAATGATTCCATATACTTATTGTTGTTGCTACTTAGATATCCTTGATCCTGAATTGGTCTGTAGTTTCAGATACTATGAACATAATATATTTGTCTTTTACATGAATTTGCAGCTCCAGTTAAGTCAACACAAAAGGAAAAGCAAAGGAAACAAGAGAGAAAAGAAGGTGAGGAAAATAAATCAAAGCTTTCTTAATGTGATTAATATATGTCAGAAACATACTTATATTTTCCCTTGTCAGATACAAATGAGCCAAAACAGAAGGAGAAACGACAGAAAGGAGGGAATTCAGGCTTCCTTGCTCCCCTTCCACTTTCAGGTGCTCTGGTTAAGTTCCTTGGTACTGGTGAGAATTCCTTGTCACGGGCTAGTGTTGTAAAGAGAATGTGGGAGTACATAAAACAAAACAATTTACAGGTATTTATTTGCTCCTCTTGGTCAAATCTGATATTTTCAGTTATACCTCCAAGGAATTGAGCCATGTCAATCATATGATCGGTGTACCTCCAAGGCATTGAGCCATGTCAAAATGTTTCCTACAAGTGCATTATGATGTGTACTATGACAACAAAGGATCATGTTCATTCTCTATATCAGTTGTTTGGAGCAATTTAAGTCACAACATGTCTGATATGGATTAGTGCATGTATCAACTTTAGGTCTCGGTCATCACAAGACTCATATTTACTATATTCAAGATGGTGCAATACAGAATCTTGGTTCTTAATTTCTTACACTTGTCAATGTTTTGCCATTTTTTACCTAACTGTTATCTCTTCCTCAGTTTAGTCTACTGAAGTTGCTAATTTAAACTCCTGGCTGATGAATAGATAACCACTGCAGTTCTCATTGCATGTCTTAGCATGCCCTCGAGCTGAGACTGTCTATTTTCAAATATTCATATATTCCCCTCCTTCCATTTCACCCAAAGTATGATAGAAGGAACAATCTCTACAAGGCTTTACCCCTTCTGTTGAGTGGTTGAGCCCCTTTAGTTGCTAGGAATTGAATAACCCCTAATGGAAAGGAGACCATAAGGCTCCAAAAATGTCCAAAGTTAGCCCAGAGATGTGCAGATATCTTGCAATGCAATTGGCAGACTCCTCTACTGTGTCATGTAGACCGTACATGAGGTTATGAAATGGCACATGTCATCTTATCAGCTGAACTTTTGTCAGGCACTTTGTTAGTTATTTATCAACATAATCTTTCTAGGCTACATTTCTACAACCTCAATATTGAATTAGCTTAGAGTCATTTTAATTTTAAGTAAAATCAACTCAACTAAGCCTTGTCCCAACTATATGGGGTCAGCTACATAAATCCTGTTTCACCATTCTGTTCTGTTCAGTTCCATATCCATTGTTAGATTATAGGCCCTTAAATTGTTTAGCACTACAACCCATGCCCTTTTTAGTCTGCCCCTCGCTCTTCCAGATCCTTCAACTTGTAACAGATATGCCTAACTGATGCAATATATGGTCTTTTCTGTATGTGGCTAAATGATATTAGTCTAGTTCCCCTCATTTTTGGCCTAATATTTTGGTTTTGGTAAGAACAAAAACTAAACGTGCACTTAGAAATATAAATACAGTATTGCCTCTCAGCAGTTTGACACTTGATCAACATTTTGTAAAGTTGGATCAAATTTGACTGAAATGTCAGTATTTTTTCCATAAGACTTCTGAAGGGTTTTCAAGATACCACATAAGAGAAAAGAAAGAGCTCAGCAGAGAGCACAAAGGGGAAAAAGTATTAACATCCGGGGGGATGGGCCATTGCTTGGTGCAGCTTGTGTTGACAAGCATGAAGATGGATTCAAGTCTTGAGAGCAGCCACTTCATGCTAAAATGGGAGAGCTTAGGTACGTATCAAATCCACCATTTCCAAGACCCTGGGAAGTCAGGATGAGCACTTAGTAACATCCATCATGTAGACATAGAAATCATTTTGAGTTTTTAGGAAATACAACTGTATGATAATCTTTTCTCTGTAGGGAACTTTTCAATTGCTCTTCTTTCTATAACATTTTGCTTCAGACCTCTAACCTTGTAGGAAACTTTCCTTCAAAGGAGGTGTGGGGTAGCCCTGTACCCCCTAAAATTCAGGCCTTTTGTTGGGAAGTGGTACTCAAAAAAATCAACACCTTGGATTTATTGCAGAAAAAGAGGCCAAATATGTGCCTCTCCCCCCAT